TATATTGTAATATCATGGTCGAAGTATAAATAAACTCTGTCCGTGAAAAATTACTCCACGGACAAAGTATAATAATCATATACGGCCGTGTAATTAATATATTTATTTAATTTTTCGAATACTAAAGTTTTATATTATATTAATATATTATTATGTTATTTTATTTATCTAGTTCTATTATTATTAGTTGTTATTAACCAAGACGGTAATATTTTCTCAAATAATGTATTATAAATATTGATTTCTGTAATATAATTGATTAAAGATTTTGAAAATTAATAAAAAACTTAAAAGTAATTTAAATCAAATAAATAACTTCTAAGATTACTTGTTTTTATAAATATTTTTTGATATTGCGATTAAAATTTTAAGGACTCGGGATAGATATTTGTTAAGGAATAAGGAAAATTTGGTAAGATAGTTATCCGAGTATTTTCGCAGTTGAGATACTTTAAGGAATTTGGTAAGGTTGGTAAACTTGTTATTTTAGTATTATAACAATAGAGTCCTGATAAAGAGTTAGGTAAGATTGGTAAGTTTGCTATTTCAGTATTATAACAATGAAGTTCTGATAATGAGCTTGGTAAAGTTGGTAAGCTATTTATCCGAGTATTTTCGCAGCGGAGAGTTGTTAAAGTGCTAGGTAAAGTTGGTAAGCTCATTATTTTAGTATTATAGCAATAGAGATTTGCTAAGGAATTAGGTAAAGTTGGTAGGCTATCAATTTCAGTGTTGGAACAATAGAGTTCTGATAAAGAGTCAGGTAAAGATGGTAAACTAGTTATTTTAGTATTCTTACAATTGAGAGTTGTTAAAGAGTTGGGTAAAATTGGCAAACTAGTTATTTGAGTATTAAAGCATTCAAGAATCGTTAGGGATTTAGACAAAATGGGTAAGCTAGTTATTGGTGTATCATAGCAATAGAGATTTGTTAAGGAGTTAGGTAAAGTTGGTAAGCTATTTATTGGTGTACGTGAGCAATTAAGAGTTGTTAAGTTGTTAGGTAAAGTTGGTAAACTAGTTATCTGAATATTATAACAGGAAAATTTTGACAATTTTCGATATCTTTGCAATCCTCCTGAAGTGGTTAATATATCCTCATTAGTATCATTAATGGTTAAACTTTCGATAGTATCATCATAAATAATTAATTCTAGTTTACAAATCCTTTCTTCCAATTCATTAATAATTTTTTGCTTGGCTTTGATTTCTTCTTCTCGTTCTCTAACCTTTTCTTTCAAATCGTTAATAGTTACTTGCTTGGCTTTGGTTTCCTCCTCCTCTCGTTCTCTAACCATTTCTTCCATAGATTTGAATTGTGAAAACAACCTACATAATTTTTCGTTACTTTTCTCTAGATTTTTAATTCTTTGCTCTGTGATTTGTAATTCTTGAGTATGTTTAGCTTCTAATTCCTTTAAGGCGCTTTCAAAATTGATAACCATTTTGGAATAAACGTATTCAAGCGATTTTCCAAATACTGTTTTTTTTGACAAACGAATATCTTTTCACAGAAATTTATTATTGTTTACATTGAAAATTAATGTTTATTTTAAAGTTTATTCAGCCCTCGGACTTAACTTTTTCCCGTATGCATGAATTGGTCATAAAATACTTTGTCTACTCGGATAACTCAAAAAAGGATCTACCCGGTTCTTTGATTGGATCGTCGGTTGCATTTGTGACATTTTGGGTCAAATAAAGTTGATCCAATAAAAATTCTTTTTTTTTTAAAAGAAAAAAAAAATGTACAGTCAATTTTTGATTAATGGTAGGTAATCAAGTTGAATGTTATAAATTGGATAGATTAAAAGTTTATTGTGTAACGTAAGTTTGTGTAAATTTAAATAATTAGTTGAATATTTATAAATTTACGTTCACGATAAATTGATAATTAAGCTAACACCTTGAAAAAAAAAAATGATTACGTTCGTGTTACTAACGATAAATTTGAAATTTCGTTAATTAAGAAACATTTATATTACCCGCGAACTTCGAAGTGTTCTACATTTACAGCCAAACTAAAATATTGAAATTGAGAAAGAAAATTTCATAAAAATAAGTCAATGGCATTTTCATAAATTGTTAAATTTTTAAAAATAAAGCATTCCTATGTTTAAAGTTATGTAAATTCATTTATATAATTTCATGTACAATTTTCAAATGATATATCCCAGGTATCAGAAAATACAACACCGGTAGTGAATCCAATAAAAATTTGATGTGTAGTATTCACGTGTGATCAATTAAAAAACGGGAATTATTCATAAATCCGTACGGTCTATAAAGAATTCTAGCAAAATGACGTTATTATCTTCACGAGATAACGGTCTTATATTTTATTCCTTTCATTAAAGATTCCAGCGGTAGAAATACGTGTGCGCTGTCAACTAATTAAATCTAAACCATACCATATGAAAATTTATTATTGAAGATTTTTTTTTGCATATAAAATTTTTTTTCGCAAATTTTATTAGTCATTACTTAAAATTAATTTACTTACTTTTCACCGCATATGCTACACATTTATATTTTACAATTTTATTAACTATTCAATAAACTTTTTAAAAAGTGTTGATGCAATATTAAATCCAAATTGAATTTCTTGAAGGGGAGTCCTTTGTTTAGTTCTTTGTTTTTGTTTTGCATTTCTTTTAACCCATCAGTCAAATTTCTTTTGCAAATTCGTCTGATGATAAATGGAGCTTTGATTGTTTCACCGATGGTGACATATTTGAGTGTGTCTTTAAGTCTAATTTGTTAAAAAGACCTTCTGCCTGCTGTTGATGAATAACAATGAAATAAATATGGATTTTAACAAAGTCATAAAGATTAGGGAATCTGTATAACTCTGGATCATCGCAACTACAGAATTGTTTAAATTCCTCAAGAAAATCATTGTTGCACACAATAGTAATTCACTCAATCCAAAATCGTTTATTATTCCATTATTTTTATCATTTTCCAGATCCTGTGCAAAAAGTAATTCTAAATCTAAAGGTGAAGAAATCCAAGGCTTTTAAAGAGTTATGTGGTAAAAATATAAAGGACTTAAAAAAAACTGTTTTTATAGTATGCACCTCTTTAAAAAAATCTGTCTCCATAGAATCAAAATAAAACGCCTTCGCTAAACTGCATATTTTAAGAATTTTTTTTTTAAAAAAAAAAATTTTAGCCACAGCCGCAGTTAAGTTTATTAAAAAATTTTTTTCTAGGTTTATATAATAACAATTTTAATTTTTATAAAACAAGTAAATTTATAGCAATAACATGATTGCGTTAAAATCATGAAAAGAATATCCAAAAACGTCCAAATAAATATTCTTGAAGTAATGTTCCCATTTATCTAATTTTTATGCATGTATACCATTTTTATTATTTTTAGCGTGTAAACTTCTCGCGTTTAAATGAAATACTGCTCAATTTATTTCCCATAATACAGTTCCTTTGAAAATGTTTTGTCAAATAAAAAAATTTGCGAATCTTAAAATGATTTTTTCCAAAAGAATTTTTTTTTTAGGAAATTTATCTTCGGACTAAACGCTGATTGTTTGTCTAATGCAAGACTTTTGAAGATGTGGGAGTAAGGTTTGAGCCTAATTATCAATTCTTTTGTAATCGAATACCCTATTCATCTGCTTATTTATTTTCTACCTTTATCGTTATTAGTAACGGTTCCGTAATCTGAAAGTTCAACCGCCTCCGGAGTTATAAATGGGAGGACGTCATTAAAAAAGGAGGGAAAATCTGTTAACTAATTTTGTGCAAGACAGGTGCCGGTAAAAAAAAATTTAACTATTGTACCAGTTGTCGGTAAACGATCGACGACATATGAATGTGACATAAATAAACAATGTCGTTAACAAGATAGTTTTTCTTTTTTTAAAAAAAAAAAATTGCAAAACATTAGAGCACGCTTCGGACACTTCCCTGATTTGATGCGGTAACCCAGGTGATCTAATAAAAAGAATCCACTCTGATTAACCAAATAACTACGTAACATAAATTCATCTTTTTTAATAAAAAACCGCTGAGAATCGGAGAATCGCAATCTTAATCATTTTTTTCATGTAATGATAAATTATTTTTTTTACTATGCTTATTAATTTTTGTCAAAGTATTACGTCACTACAAGCCACAAAAAAGTTTATACGAGACTATGTCATGTATAGTATACCCTCAACAGCTCTCGTTTCTAAAACCTCTTTCTCTAAAAACCAAAATATCTTTTTTATCATTACAGGAATATAATCGAAATGGTTGAATCATACAACATTTTACGTCTAGATAATAGTTACGTTTTTCAGGTTGAAGCTTACAAAGATGTAAACGACAATGATAATAAGAAATTCTTTAAATTTAATGATGAGAGAATTCCGTTTGAGGAATTTAAAGTTGGACAACTTGAGAGGCTTATCTCTCGTAGAGGAATGTTTGATGGTTCTGATATATTAAATCTTTGGTAAGTTGACATCGATGAAAGTGCGCTTAATCCTAGATCTACTGAAGCAGATATTAAAAACCTTGGAGGCGTAATTATAAAACGTCAACGCAAGTTTATTAAATATTTTCAATATGGATATGAACCTACGGAGGAAGATAACATCAGCATTGTTGCCGTCAACGTAACTACCACCACTGGTAAGTGTCTCTCAATGGTTTACCTCTCGAACAAGAAATTCGCGTTATCTCACATATATTATTTAATCTCTTCTTGTAAAAATAAAGAAAATAAGGGGACAGCTGACGATTTATATGTATTTGTTGATAATTGAATTTCTTTATTCAGGCATATAATTCCATTTGTCGACTTGAGAATTTGGCTGAGAGCTCTAACCTTTTTCTTGATTATGGAAGGCTGCTTGAGGTCATTAAAGGTGGGCGTTCACTAGGACAACCACCAATTCTCATTGGTTCCAGACCACCACCACTTGATACGTTGTGGGATCGCATTTATAAAGATGGGTATAAGGTAATCATTCTTGAACGGAATGTTATAAATCGTGAGAAAGGTGTTGATAACGCAGTTGGGCACTATATTGATGAGGTGATCTTCACCAAGACTCCCGCTACAATTGCGCTTGTCTCGGGTGATAAAGATTTTTACTGGAATATTAAGGTAGCCCTGGAACGAAACTGGAATTTAGAAATATGGTCCTGGAAAAGGGGTATTAATTAATTGTTAATACTGTGCTTAGTTTTATTCAAATTAAATACGTACCTTTATATTATTACTAGGCGCATCATTTAATGACAATATTCATTCTCCAGGAGTGTCTCACTATGTATTGCCACCAAATCTTTATACCACTTTTATACCTCTTGATAATCTTTACAAGAATTTTGCATGGTGTTATGATAAAGATAATACTGGAGAAATGAGAGTCCTTAGGATTACTGACGGAGATGCAATCCGTAACTGGAGCAATGATGACGTAATGGAGTGCTTTGTTAATTTAAATTTATTCGGTTGGTGGCATCGTGAATACCCGGGGTCCTTGCTTTTATATTTTCGAAATGAGAATGATAAGCGAAGTGCACAGGCATGGTTGAATAAGAATCACTCTGAAATTTGGATTGGGGAAGTAGTAACCAGAAAAAGAAATAGAAGATAGAAGGAATTTAAGATAGCATTATTAGTGATAAAAAAGAATGTATTCTATAATATGTTCTCATGGTAGCATTCTTAACTTGTTGTGCTTATAATTTAGTATATATGATTGTAAAAAAATCAATAATACCTTTATAAAATAAATAAATGTGATATGATCGACTGCGGTACGCATGTTTACGAGATCGAAAAGAATAATAATTAAATCTTTTAAAGTTTCAAAAATAAAATGAAAATAAATACGCAATTCCGATTTATTCGATGGCTTTGGGAAATTTCTACTCCAAGATGGACAGTTGAAGCTCTTAACCTTAAAGAACTTTATCCAAGATGGTACCAAGATTTATTCTCATAAACCTGATTAGATTTTTTGACCTAACAACCTTTAGCTTTTCGGATTATCCAATCTGTTTGAGAAATATCGCAATAATTTCTGTGTCATGGACCGTTGCCGCCTTCTTCGCCATGAAAACTAATCGTGATAAGCAGAAATAAAAAAAAAAAATAAAGAATTATTTTTCATTCATTTCATACATTTATTTATTTGATTCATTTGTTAAAATAAAAAAAAGAACATCGGGAAATTACCGTTAAATGTCACAAGAGATCAAAATCTGATTACAATTGAACTTTGGCAAAAACCTTAGAAACCAATTAACCAATTAACTCATCTCTTGACAATTCTCGAGAATAGAATTGGACGATGATGATGCATTTTTTTTTTTGTTTTTTTTTTGAGAATCTGATGCGATCCATGGTTATGTTGCGTTTTTGATAAATGGTAAATAATTTGCTAAAGATTGAAATAAAAAAAAATTTTTTTTTACCAATCATTTTATTGTAATTGTAACATTAAAGAAACTTTATGTACCGAAAGAGGTACTGTATATACTTTTTTTTAAAAAAAACAAGAAAAATCAAGAAATAATAATCAATGTTTAAAATCTATATCTTTTCAGAAATAAATATGCAAATCTTACATCGATATTTTAAACGGGAAATAGAGATTAAGATTTCCTTTTAAACAAAAAAAAAAATTAAATTAAATAAAGGATAATAATCTCTTTCTTTATGAATATTCATTGAATATTCATCAAAAAAAAAATAACTGTGTTTGATTAATATGCATTTTCCTAGATTTCGAATAGTTTACTTTTTAATATAAATATTATATAGTCTTCTTTTCATTACTTATATTATGTTATCTATTTTTCATTATATGTACTTATCAAAAAGCGTAGTATAGTACTAGTTAGCAATTTTATATAAATAGAACTGTAAGTTGACCTTGAGTCGACAGAGTCCTTCAGATAGTTTTCTGAATAAGTCTTGGGATTAGAATTATAACTCTACAGTTTAATAAAGTTACTATTTTACACTTTCAACCTTCTTCTTGTCTTCATCTTAGGATTGATCGTGATAACCTACTACACAAGTGAATCGTGATGATAAATCGTTTTTGTTTGTTAATCGTTAAACTTCTTTTTTGACCATGAAACGAACATATCATTATTATTTTTAAATTTTAATTTTTATGGTGGTTGATTATCAATAGATCGATCTGAACATAGTTTTTATGTCAATGGACACAAGGATTAGTGTTATCAGCATTTTTCGTAGGATACTCACAACCCAAATATTAGGAGGAGAGCTAGCCGATAAATTTGGGGGAAAGACGTTCTAGCAATAGTTCACTATCATAAAAAAAATGTTAATTACTTAACCCACCCTTGTTTACATATATGAAATAGCCGCAGCAACACTGTTCGTTTCACATTATTAACACCGAAAGCATCCGAATTTGGATTAAATCCTTTAATAATATGTAGAATATGCGTTGGTATAGGAGAAAGGGCGTTATTTCCGGGAGTGAATCCTCAGTAGCAAAGTAGATCCCGGCACAAGAAAGATCACGCCTTATCGGAGCAGCGGAGTTTATGTTGGGAGTGCATCTTTTACTTGTTTGGAACTATCGGTGTAGGTTGCCGGGCAAAACCCGTAGGCATCGAAATCGAAACCCGTCGAAACGTTTTGCCTAATATTTTTATTGAAGGCAAAATTGCGAAAGTTTCGACGGATGATTCTCATGCAGCACAATGATTAGATTATTAAGTTAAAAGCGCCGAGGTTATATTCATAAGGTAATTCTTCAACAAAAAGCAAAAAAAAAAAAAATCGTTTTTATATGATACAATAAACCTGTTAAACCGTACAATTCGCAAAGTTGTTATCAAACCGTCGAAACTTTCGAGACCTATCGAAACTGTCGAAATAATTTCTGAAAAGTTTCGACTTTTGCCAAAATGGGTTTAGGGTTTTGCCCCGCAACTATAGTTCTTTCTGGAGCTTATTATGGAAAAATTATGGATCAAGTTTCGGATCAATATGAAGGGATCAGTCAAGAAGAAGTAAAGTTAATATAAGGAATCGACAAGTTTGAGGACGAAGAAAATCATTCCGAAGATGGTGTATTACAACAGGAAGGCGTTAGGGATCAACACTGTAACGCAGAGGATGAATCAATTCCTTTATAATGATTGATTCTAAATTAACAAATGATTTACCATGGATGTAGATACTTTCAAAGAAAGAAGGCTGGGCATTATTGATAACGTATTTTTGTAATTCGTGGGAATATTTCATCATGTTGACATGATTGCCAACGTATTATATAGATAGCTCACTTTGGCATTGACATCAAGAAATTGGGATGCTTTGCTGTCATACCTTATGCTGTGCAGGGTGCCATGGGTTTTGTTGTCGGCACGATTGGTGATCATATGATTCATAAAGTTAGGAGGATCGCCCAATCAATCAATTGGAAGTCTTGGGGTCGCTACTTTCCTTTTATTGGTAATGATCTCTTTAAAATGAGTTAAAATGGATTTCCTTTTTTTAACCCACAATCAAAATATTCTTAGGTTGCGCGTCATCTCCATTTGAGGGAATAATCTTAAATCAGGTGATTCTACATTCAAAAAAAAATCTTACTTTTTTCCTTTTTCAGTTTGATATCGCCCCTAAATATGCAGGTATCATCTACGGTCAACACTTTAGGTGTGATCCCTGTATTTTTGGCGTGGCATTAACTGGTTGGATTCTGGACGTAGCAGGAAGAAATTGGAATATTAGGATATTTGTGGCTTCTTTATATTTTAGTTCGGCATTAATTCTTGTTGGCTTGGGCTGGTGGTGAGGTCATCATCGATTGATTAATTGAAGATTGTGATGGGATGTTTGTTCTTTAGAGAATTTTACATTTAGATAAATCCGGTCGTACAAATTATTAGAATCATAACAAGATCGTTCCTTACATTAGATGGTATTACAAATTATTAGAATCATACCAAGAACGTTTCTTAAAGAATTTACATGAAGAGAATTCTGGTCGTATTACAAATTATTTAGAATCATAACTATATGCAAAAGAAAATAATTTTTTTTTTTTTTACAAATTTTGATTGTACGTAAATAAAATCTTTCCAAAAAAATCTTATTCATATGTATTGCAAAATTGCAAAAATGACATGTACTAAGATGATTTTATACTCGCAAATGGTTTAGATGATGATTTCTAATTGTTTTCCTTTGTGTTTGCTTAACGAAGAATGATGATCTATTTATTCATTAGAAACGAAAACTTTATAAATATAAGAACTTTCCACCGTTAACCTTCTAATAAAAAAATAAAAACAATAAAAAACGACTATAATAAATATAAGAACTTCCACCGTTAAAAAAAAAAAAACAAATTACAAAATGAATACCGTCATCAAATTCAACAAATTGAATTCATTTATTTCAATTCTTTTATTGTTCTCTTTATTCACATTGTTCAATGAAGTAACAGCTATAGCTATTGAAACAAGTAAATTTTCTTTTCTTTCATTTTTAAATTGATCATTTTATTTTCTTTTAAAATTGATCTTTTCGACCTAATTTTCTTATTTATACAGGGAATGCAGAATTTACAGAGTTTTGTAATGGTAAGATTTCATAGATTTTTTATTTTTTTTTTATTTAAAAAAAAAAAATATCTTTTTAATAAAATCTTTTCCATCTTTCCCGTTCTCAGGATTTCAATTCATTTCTCCTAAAGCTGGTGATAAATTTCTAAAGAATGACAAAATTGAAGTAGTTTGGACAAATGGACACTCGATAATTGAACAAGTAAATAACATTGACTTATATAATAGTACATCTGGAAAATTTGTTAAATCATTATGGAGAGGTACTCGACGTTTCGGTGTTGATGGGAAGGCTTCGGTCAACGTAAAACTTGCAGTCCCTAAGCACACTGAATTACCTGGTGAATTTATTTTGAAAAGTTGGGGCACAACTTTAGAAGGCCCGTCTTGTTTTACAATTAGTGGAAATTTTACTATAGATCCTAAACTTTGTTAGAAATGTTCTATTCTTCTTAATTATTATTACTATAAAGGATAGACTTTATGAACTACTCTTCTTAATTATTATTATTTCAATTATTAATAAATCAAAAAAATATCATTATTTAATTTAACACTGAAATTAACGAAAAATTTTTTTCTCTGTGTACATGAAATTATCCTATAAATAATTAACAATTAACAAATCAGATCGCAAAGATGATATATTATTTATTTATTTATTTATTTTTTTTTATAGTCGTTCCTAATAAAATAACTTTGCCCACCACTCATATTTCTTTGAAACGATTTTCCAATAAATAACTCTTTCATATAAATCTTCTGTACTATATAAATGGTTTCAAAAAATAATTTATTGCTCCATTTTTTTTTTAAAAAAAAAATCAAATTAAAATTTTTCTGATGATGCCATAATTTCATGTCTGTAATCCAAATTTGATCTGAAATTTCAGACATCCGAAGTTATAATGATCTTATTTTTTGAAATTAAAAGGACTATCATCAATAATCAAGTTTTAAGTAGGTTAAAAAATGTTTTAACATTTTCACATTGCGATATTTACGTCAAGTCACGTGACAATACAAAAGAATTTGTTTCCGGTCTATACATTTACAGCACATACCGTCGTACCGGTTATAATATTATAAAGTACAATTCAAATTTCGCGTAAAGTATTGAGCGAAATGAATCGGTTTCCGTCTATGGGAAGATCCATACGTTAAGACTATGGATAAGAGGCGCAGGTAAAAATAGCAAATTTAAATTTTATTTCTCCAATCTCCAAAATAATTTTTTTTTTTTTTTTTAAAGTTTAAATACAGTATTTTATATGCTATAAATTATTAAAACCCTAGTTCCGTTATAAAGTAACCGTTTAATAATTTTGTTAACATTGAATTCTTAATCCTGGCCAAAATTAAATTTTGGCCGAGTTAAAAATCAACTATTTTAAACCGGTTAACATGTTGACCGTTCCGTTCCAACCATTTATAATTCATATCCTAATTATCAGCAGATTGTGATCTCGTTTAATTTATTGAATGGAATTCATATATTAATTCGAAAATTGGATTTAGACAACACATAAAAAGATAATTTCTTTTTATTAAAATGAAATGATGATAAAAATTATTACATATAAGTATATAAAATTTAAAATAAAATAGTACGATTTTAGAAGCTTCTATATTTTAATAACTTGAAATACTTCGTAATCGTCCACTTTAAAACTCGCAGGTATACCATCAACTTTGGAATAATCACATTTTTCAAATTGCTTACTTGACCAAACGCCTCCGTCATCACATCTTAAATCTCGACCGCCGAATAAAGGTCCACACTCTGCAAAACAACCTATAGAATATTTATTTTTATCACTATATCCTACATTCACTGTTTGAAGGTCCGTTCCATTTTTAAATGAAAATATAAAACTATCTTCAGCTATTTTCCATCTTTCGTCTGAATCCCATTCAAGCGGGTTATATCCTCCGATAATTTGTTTGCTTCCGTTAATTTTAATTATTACGATAGTAGCCCCCATATTATCACATTTTTTATGAAACATTGCCGGTGTCATACCATCGTCACTGGCACGACAAATTAAATTAAATTCATATGACAAGTTCTTATTATTATAATGTAATTTGTTTTTCTTATCTATCCAACTCGAAAATATAGCAAAATGTTGAGATTTAACTAAGACAGAACCACAATAAAATTTTGACTGTCTAGGTGGTACCTCAGTATTTAATTGCTTTTTATTTGACAAATAAATTGCTAAAGTGGTTTCAAACATATCTTTTGGTAGTAATTCTCTGAAAGGAAGCACTTTTTCAAGAAAATCATCTGAAGATATATAATGAAATCTAACTGAAGGGATTAATCTATGAAGAGTTCTTTCCATGGTAGTAGTTTCTTCTTTGCTCCATTTTTTGACATCTTTAGGAATAGACGGATTCTGAGCATGACCCCACTTAATTAAACTATCCCAAATATCAATTTCCTCTAAACAAAGATCATCACGTTTCAAAATTAATTCCAATAAAGGTGATTTTATGCTGATAAATTTATCAGAATTAAAAAACGTTTCAGGTTCTTCACAGATTTTTCAAGATAAAAATTCCATAATGTTGCAAAGTTCTCGTTTTGATAAATTATTTCAAGAGTTCCTATAGGATTTTGCTGTAAAAACTCATGATGATTATTAATTAAATCTTGTTCAATTAAGGAAACTATAGTTTGAAGATTAAGTGCGTCTGCTGCTATTAACAGTTTAAATTTTTCTGCCCTTCCAATTTCGACCAATCAATTTTTCCACAATAAATAAATCTAATATGTAAAAAAGAAAAATTTTTTTTTGTTTAAATCATTGTTGTAATTGCTGTAAATTCTATTCAATTTACCTTACCTTAAGATAATTTTAAAAAGATGTGGAGAAATATTGGGTATTTTTAAAATGAACTTTCCATCATTTTTCTCAACATTTCCTTTAGTTAGTTCATTACGAAGGTATTGCGATCTGATACGTAAAATATTTGAAAAGGCATGAAATTCTTTAAAGTTTTCATTTTCACCGACATAAATAATGACATCATATCCTTCGTCAGGTTCGAGTAACTTTTCGTAATCATTAGAAACTTCTAGCAAACTTTCATAAGACATTTTTTTTTTTTTTTTTTTTTTTTTTTTTATGAATAAGTGCAGTCATTTCATTTCATTGAATATTTTTATATTAAACTTAGAACGATCAGTAGTTCTAAATAAATTACACAAATGCATGCGGTAATTCTGAACAAATCTTGATTCATATTAAACGAATTTAATATTGTTGTGCCCCCAAATTAAAAATAATGTCGTGATACAATAAACTCCCTCATTTTTATGTAGGCGAACCATTAACAAGCCAAACAAGGAATAGTAGTGTTACACCAGTAGATTTGGATACATCCCAAAAGCAAAAAAGAACGCGAAAATCAAAGTCTAAAGATGCATTTATTTTAATATTTTTTTATTATATTAAAATTATATAATTAATTATTTAAATTAAATTTCTTAAAAGGAAATGTTGAACCAACTGAACTTTCAAAATTACCGGTGCTTTAAATAAATCAGAATTTAAACGATTCGATCAATTTCCGGTTGCACCGGAACTTCCACAATTTGATTAATAAGCCTCTATTAAAGCGGTAGATAATATTACAATTAATATTACATTTCCGGCTGCAAGTCAATTTCAATATGCTAATCAATTAGAGCTTAATGAACAGTTAGAAATGTAAATTATTAATATTTCTATTATTAGTTAACAAACAATTTTCTTTTAAAATAAATAAATTTGATTTTATTTTAAAGTAATTCTTTGATTTTATATAAACGCCAATAATATTTAACCGCAGTAATAATATTAAATTTTTTCTTTAAAGTTGAATATTTTCCAAATAATTTGTATATTGCTGGTTACTCGACGAAAAAAAATTAATAATGCTCCTTCAAGTGAACCCAACGGTTACAATTTAACAGTTAACACTAATAGGAGGTATTGATACTCAACCTGTGATTGAAATAAAAAATAACTCTTAAGGGAAACAGAATTTATTAAATATTTAAATTTTAGAATTTAGGTTCACTTTACGTAAGCTTGTCGGTACCGAAGAATGTAAAATATTGTAGAGATAATTTACTATAAAGAGTTAGGGTTTAATTGTAATAGTCGTGTCTTTATATAAAAATTGATAAACGAAGCCATATAATAGAAGTTTGTGATACCGATAAAGTCTTGTTATACCTTGTATTCGAATAAAAGTTCTTTTCTTTGCTTACATAATAAGCAAATCTTTTATACCCAATTCTAGTTGGATCAATAATGAAAAATTTTTTCCTCTAATGCATTGATGAATTCTGCCATTCGGAGCGCAGCAATCGAACGATTCTTTTTTTTCCAAAAAAAAATCTTGCGCCCTTGCCTTTATTTAGGGTTCCTCTTCATATCGTATTGTTTCACAAGTTTAAGTCAGTATTTTTTTAGTCTCTTCAGGGCGCAGCGTTTGAAATGTGTCCTTTAGGTTCAAATAACGAGTTAGCGATTATGAGAGTTTTAAATTTATTTTTTTTTATTTTTACGATTCGGAATTTGATAAATTTAGAAAATGATCGACATGTATGACAATGCATAAACAATAAAGAAACGACAAAAATTTGAAAAAATTTAATTGCTTTTTTTCTTTTAAATTTTCAACAATGATCAACAGTAGCGATAAAAGTGTAATAAAAAGGCTTACAAATATATTTACCAAAGCAAACAAAAGTAATAAAAAAGCTGTTCTAGATGAAGATGGTAAGCGTATTGATTTAAACAAGTTGTTTTGATGGACTTGAAACGATTTATTTTTTTTTATAACATTAGAGCCAGTTTCGGGTGCTCCGAATGCTCCTATTTTAGAAGAATTAGAGGGTATGAACATTTATCTATTTGCAAAGTCAAACTATAATTAATTAAGGTTTTTTTAAAAAAATAAAATTCAATGATTGGTGACATGCAATATTATAAATATTTTTCTTATAACGTTAGAGCCAGTTTCGGATGCTCAAGATGCTCCTACTTTAAAAGAATTAGAGGGTATGAATATTATCTATTTGCTAAGTCAAATTATAATTCTTTAATAATTAAGATTTTTTTTTAAAAAAAAATAAATTCAATGGTTGGTGATATGATATAGAATGTAAGTCATTTAATTTTCTATCGATATTTTTAACATGTAAACTAAACTTTTATTTAAATTTCTAATGGTTAATTATACTAGGGAGTAAGCTATTGTAATTCTTTATATTGTAATTTAAAGCTTAACTAATTTATTTTAAAAAATTTTTTAAATGGTTAAACATTTTAGTCGGTAAGTTCTTTTATTATTATCTATACTTATATAATAATTGATTAAATATTAACTAAATTTTATATAAAATATTATAGATCGTAAGTTATGTTTTACTTTTTAATTCAATTTAAATAAACAAAATTAATATATATGATAATATTACAGAAAGTAAGTTGATTATTTTAAGTTTCGACGAATCAAATTAATTTTTAAATTTTTATTTAAAATAAAATATATTATGCTTTAGATTGTAAGTTATTTTTATTGATTATCAGTATTTAATTATACTTTTTATTGTAATTTAAATTCAACTAAATTTTTTATTTAAAAAATATTTAAATTAGATTGTAAGTTATTTTTATTGATTATTAGTATTTAATTATACTTTTTACTATAATTTAAACAACTAAATTTTTAATTAAAAAACTAAAGGGGGTAAGTTATTTTTATTGATTATTAGTATTTAATTATATTTGTACTATAATTTAAAAAATATATTTAAAAAACTAAAGGGGGTAAGTTATTTTTTATTGATTATTAGTATTTAATTACGGTCAACTCTTGTTATAGCGAACTCTTGATATAACGAATTTTTTGAACAAATATAATAAAAATACTCTTGTTATAGCGAATTAGCCAATCAAATCTCTTAAAATCTTCACTATAGCATTATAGCGAAGTTAAGGTTTAGGATATAGAGTTTGTTATAACAAGAGTTGACTGTATACTTTTTACTATAATTTAAACTCAACTAAATTTTAATTTAAAAAATATTTAAAAAACTAAAGGGGGTAAGTTTTTTTTTATTGATTATTAATATATAATTATACTTTTTACTGTAATTTATCCTTAACTTAATTTTTTATTTAAAAAATAAATTTCATTAGTTGGTGAGTTATTTTATTGATTATCAATATTTAATTTTACTTATTATAATTATTTAAAGTCAATTAAAATTTTATTTAAAAAAATATTCAATAAATAGATAGTAAGTTATTTTTTATAATTAATATTAAATTATACATTTTATTATAATTTAAACTAATTAAATTTTTTAAAAAAAATATTTAATAATTAATAATGCAATAGATAGTAAGTTATTTTTATTGATTATTAGTATTTAATTATATTTTTTACTGTAATATAAATTTAACTAAATTTTTATCTAAAAAAAAATGTAGATTGTAAGTATTTTTTATTGATTATTAGTATTTAATTATACTTTTTACTATAATTTCAATTTAACTAAATTTTCAATTAAAAAACTAAAGGGAGTAAGTTATTTTTATTGATTATTAGTATTTAATTATACTTTTTGAAGTAATTAAATTTAATTAAATTTAATTAAATTTCTAATTTAAATAAATATTTAAAAAATTAAAGTGGGTAAGTTATTTTTATTGATTATTAATATTTAATTATACTTTTAACTGTAATTTATATTTAACTAAATTTTTTTATTTAAAAAAAATAAATTTCATTAGTTGGTAAGTTATTTTATTAATTATCAATATTTAATTATACTTGTTATAATTATTTAAAATAACTAAAATTTTATTTAAAAAAATATTCAATAAATAGATGGTAAATTATTTTTTAGTATTTAATTTTAATTTTTATTATAATTTACACTCAATTAAACTTTTTTTTAAAAAAAAATATTTAAATTTAGATTGTAGGTTATTTTTATTGATAATTAGTATTTAATTATACTTTTTACTGTAATTTAAACTCAACTAAATTTTTTATCTAAAAAAATATATAAAAATTAAAGGGGGTAAGTTATTTTTTATTGATTATTAATTAGTATTTAAATTATACTTTTTACTATAATTTAAATTCAACTAAATTTTTATATAAAAAAAATATTAATTAAAAATTAAAAATGCGATAGATGGTAAGTTATTTTTAATGGTTATTAATATTTAATTTTACTTTTTATTTTAATTTAAAACTTAATTAAATTTTTATTTAAATTTAGATTGTATGTTATTTTTATTGATTATTAATATTTAATTATACTTTTTATTGTAATTTAATTCAACTAATTTTTTATTTAAAAAATATTTAAATTTAGATTGTAAGTTATTTTTATTGATTATTAGTATTAAATTATACTTTTTATTATAATTTTAATTTAATTAAATTTTTATTTAAAAAAAATATTAAATTTAGATTGTAAGTTATTTTTATTAATTATTAATATTTAATTATACTTATTACTATAATATTTACTCAACTACATTTTTATCTAAAAAATATTATTTAAATTTAGATTGTTTGTTATTTTATTGATTATTAATATTTAATTTTACATTTTACTATAATTTAAACTTAAATAAATTTTTTATTTAAAAAAAATATTTAAATTTAGATTGTAAGTTATTTTTATTGATTATTAATATTTAATTATACTTTTTACTGTAATTTAATTCAACTAAATTTTTATCTAAAATAAAAATATTTAAATTTAGATTGTAAGTTATTTTTATTGATTATTAATATTTATTTATATTTTTTCTATAATTTAAACTTAACTAAATTTTTTATTAAAAAAATATTTAAATTAAAGGGGGTAAGTTATTTTTTATTGATTATTAGTATTTAATTATATTTTTACTGTAATTTAAACTCAACTAAATTTTTATTTAAAAAAATATTTAAATTTAGGTTGTAAGTTATTTTTACTGATTATTAGTATTTTAATTTACTTTTACTGTAATTTAAATTCAACTAAAATTTTTTATTAAAAAAATATGTAAATTTAGATTGTAAGTTACTTTTATTGATTATTACTATAATTTAAATTTAACTAAATTTTTATTTAAAATATTTAATAATTAATAATAGTTGGTAGGTTATTTTTTATTATTTAATGAAATTAATATAATATAATTTAATAATTAATAATGATTAATATAAAATATTATATAATTTAATAATTAATAATGATTAATATAAAATATTATATATTTATAAAATTTATAAATTTATCTATTAAGTAAGTATTATATTTTTATGTTTTAAAATAATAATAAAATAATAATTATAATATTAATGCTATAAAATTATGATTCAGAAAAAAAGGGATTTGTCCAAATTGTAATAAAAAATATACTGGATATAAATGGTGTAAAGAATGTTACTCTAATTTATTTCAACAAAGTTTTTTTAATTGGACTAGTAAAAATAAATTTATTGATGAATTTATTCAAAATATTCAAATGAATGCTCAAAATAAAAGACAATTTTTAGAATGGATTCCTTATAATAAATTTAAAAATATTAAGTATCTTGATAAAGGAGGATTTAGTATTATATATAAAGCTACTTGGATTGATGGATTTATTATAACTAATTTATATTATAATAATAATTGGAGAAGATTTGGTGAAATTGATGTAGTTCTTAAAATTTTTGATAATTCATTAAATTTAAATAAAGAATTTCTAAATGAGGTATGATATAATTTATTATTTTTAGTTTTAAATAATAAACTTTAAATTAATTTATTTTTATTTAGTGGAAAAATCATTATAAATGTTATAGTCAATTAAAATATTATTCAGATGAAAATCTTATTCAAATATATGGTTTTACTCAAGATCCAAATACATTAAATTATATTGTAGTAATGCAATATGCACAATATAGTAATTTAAGAAAAAATTTATCAAATTTAGTTAAAAATAAATGGATTATTAAATTATTACAATTAAACAATATTATTAGTGGACTTAATGAAATTCATCAAAAAAATCTAATTCATTGTGATCTTCATCATGGTAATATTTTAAATATTAATAGAAATATTTTATCTATTAGTGATTTAGGATTATGTAAACCTGTAGATTATTTTGAAATATATAAAAAAAATGATATATATGGTGTTTTACCATTTATAGCTCCTGAAGTTTTAAGAGGTCAATCTTATACATTAGCTAGTGATATATATAGTTTTTCTATGATTATGTGGGAGTTTGTATCAGGAATTTCTCCATTTGATAATGAAGCTCATGATTTTCAACTTAGCTTAGATATTTGTAAGGGTAAACGTCCTAAAATTATTGAAAATATTCCACAATGTTATATAAATTTAATGAAAAAATGTTGGAATATAGATCCATTAAAAAGACCAACAGCATTAGAAATTAAAAAGATTATTAATAATTGGTTTGAGAATATTAAATGTAAAGATTTTGATAAAGAATTTATAAATGATATAATAGAATTTTATAAAGCAGATAAAGCATTGAAACAAAAACAAGATAATAATATTTTAAATAATAATATTAATATTGAATCTCATCCACAAGCATATTATACAAGTTGTTTATTGAATTTTACTGAAAAATTAAAACAAGTTTTAAATGAAGATACTGTAAAAACTAAAATTAATAAAAATAGAGGTAATTATTATAATATATACAAATATAAAAATTTTAAGATTATTAATTAATATATTTTTTAATTTATAGAATCTTTAAATATTATAGAAAATGAAATAAATATGTAATTTTAATATATATTATATATTTATATTATATTATCTTAGTGAAAATAATTCAATTTTTTTTATTTTTATATACTGTAATTATTATAATAAAGTTTTATTTAAATAAAAAATTAAATAAATATCCTTTGAAAATTTATAAATCAAAATAATTTAATAAATTATAATATTAATATGTTTATAGAATTTTATAGATTTAATATCATATACTTTCAAAAATAAGTACCTCTTAAAAATAAGTACCCTTACATTTATATATATGCTAAAAATAAACATCCCCTGAAAATTGAACACATTTTATAATAAAAGAAAAAAAATATTATTATATTTATTGATTTACAAATTAAAGAAATAAAGATGGTTTAATTACTTGAAATTATCATTATTATCACTAATATTTTCTTTATCAGAATTCTCCAAATCATCGTCACTAAAATCTAAATTATCTAAGGAATTTGATAGATAACAATTTTTGAATGAATTAATAATAATGTTATTAGAAATTTGCTTCTATAATCATTTCACTTATGCACACATATCATTGAACTTAGTAATCAAAGATTACCTCTAGTAGTTTGACCAGCATTATTATTAGCTATCCAATATGCTACTCATTTTTAAAGTTATCTTTAAACGATTTGTTGATTGCTATAGCAAGAGATTGACATAAACTGGTCAATCCGCCTAGAATTAAAGTTAAGTAATATCTATTATCTTTAAATTTTTCCTTTACTGATTCCTCTAAATGCTTTTTAAATGAATCATAGACTATTTATATTATTGATCTATCATTATTACTTTCACTATTTAGATAATAAATATACTGCTTCATTAATTCAGAATCTATCCAGTTATTTTCCTAAAACTAAACAAATATACTAAATGGAATTTATATGCTAATCATTTTTCTTTAAATATACAGATCAGAGACTTTATTCCATCTATAAATAAAAATTTAATTAGAAGTTTATATTTTATATTTTGATTAAAATAAAAATAAATATTTTCAACAAATAAACTTTAGTATTTCACAAAAGAATTATTAAAAAATTTTTGATTTTTTTAATTACAAATCAAAAAAATACATTAAAAGATTTCTTACTTGCGAAGTATGTTAAAACAATTGTGAATCAGTTTTTTTTATTACCTATAGCATAAATATGAAATGTTTTCTTATTTTTCTGATTAAAAGTAAAATTACCAACTATATCAAACCATACAGAAGTTTCATCTATATTGAGAATATTATGCATTTTAAAGGATTTTTCAACCCTAAGATGAATAATAAATTGGCAAAAACTCTTCAATAATTCTGTAATTTATGCAGATAATTTTTGTGAAATTTTTGTATACCTCTACCAAGCTAATTTATACCTTTTCATAAATGCAGATAACTAATGATCTGATGTTTTAAAATCCTTATCCACATTATCTTCTTCTAAAATTTCTACTATATTAATACATATAATTGTATAAGTTACTACTAAAACTTGTTATTTTTGTTCAATAATCCAATTGTACAATTTTTTTTTAGCTTCAGAATAAAAGGCTTTTTGATCTGAACCAATATACTTATTGTTTTAGTTTATTTTAGTTAACAAATTTGAACTTGTTTGGGGGGACAAGGGCAGTTCTCACTAAGGAGTGATAGCCTTCCCAGTGCCTTCTTGCTATATTTCTTTGTATTCTTTTTCTATTTCTTGCATCTCTAGCTCATTATAATTACTAATTATATTTCTTGCCTAGCTGGAGACTCCGCAATCTCTGAAATACTAATTATTAATCTTACTTAGCTAAACTCTTTGGAATTGTATAAATACTAATTTGTTATTTTATTTAGCACGGGTTTTTTGAAAGCAAATAAGCTTACTGTATGCAGAACAAAGTGGAGCGGTAAGCAAATTATGAATACAAGATATGGAAACAAGGCAGTTTTCACTAGAGGTGCAGAGCATGTATACAAGATATGTTCACAGATATGTTCACAGGTTGCGGAGCATCGAAGATGCAGAGCATATATACACAAGATATGTTCACGGGTTGCAGAGCATCGAAGATGCGGAGCATATATACAAAGATATGTTCACAGGTTGCAGAGTATTGAAGATGCGGGTATATGTACACAAGATATATTCACAGGGGTTGCGAAGCACTAAGGGTGCGAAACATATACGCAAAACATGAAAAAAATTAAGTAATATAAATGCATACATATTGAGTTCCAGGAATATTCCCAGAACATCCTCGGCACTAGCCCATCACTGGCCCATCACTAGTTCGTTACTAACCCAAATTTTTGCAAGCTTATGCTTAGTCCTGATCAAGAGCATCCAAATAAGTCTGCATTTGTATGATTCCAATCAGTGAATCCCGAGATATCCGCATCCAAAGTAACCTGAGCAGTCAAGCAGTTTTCTTATCACAGATTAGCCAAATAGACCCACTCCTTCGGTCAAGACCTTCAGAAGAAAAAAAAGTTGTTCTGAAATCTATGATTGAGGGACCGAGGCATATTTGGTCAGATTGCATAATGGTAAGTACTGCGTGGGATTAGTAGTGAACTTACTTGCGGTTATGCACCGATTATTTCTAGATTTCTTACCCATTACTAGATAATTTAGTTGATTCAATAATTAGTTGATTTTATGTTAATAGAACGGGATAGATATCTTTTACGTTTCACCTTCTTATTACCAGATTTTTTATTTACATGTATTATTTTGTTAAGTAGCGTAAAAACTGATTCCCTGGGTTCCTCCTCTATTGTATAAGCTTCTTCAGCTGAACTCGACTCAGATGTACTGGAC